TTATCTTACCTAGTTCCTCCAATTAGGACTTCCTTTACTGTGTGGAGTAGATATAGGACGAGCGGGTCTTCCTTCTTTTGTACTTTAAAAAGAGCTTTCACTATTGCACTGTTAAACACTTAGTGTTGCTTGTCCTATGTGGCCTTAATTATACATGACATCTTCATTTCAGGAAAACAGTCATAAGTTAAATTCATTTGTAATCTGACAAAGTGGCTCTTACACAGTACACCTGTGAAAGTTCACAACTTGAGTTCACAAGTTAGGGCCTTAGTGTATTGAGGTATCTTCCTTGATTACCTAATTTATTGAAGTTATTATCATGAAAAGATGTTGAATTTTGTCAAATGATCTTATGTATCTATTGAGAGGAATATATGATTTTTATCCTTCACTTTGTTGATGTATATCACATTTATTGATTTGTGTATATTGGTGCATCCTTATTTCCCAGAGAAAAATCCTATTCCATAATGGCATGATTCTTTTAACTTCTTAATGAATTTTGTTTACTACTATTTTTAAAAAAGATGTCAGCATTCAGGTTCATTAAGGATATTAGTCTGAAATTTTCTTTTCTTGAAGCATTCTTATCTGGCATTGTTATGGGGCTGATACTGAGTTCAGAAAGTGAGTTTGGAAATATTTTTCCCTCTTCAATTTTTGTAAGAGTTTTAGAATGATTGGTATTGATTGTACACTAAATGCTTGGTGTACTAAAAAGAGTAAAATTGGGGTCAGTGAGACAGCTCAGCAAACTAAGCACAGTGACCAGGGTTTGATCCCTGGTACCTCATTTACCTCCTACCCCATCAGGGTGCACTGAGCCAGCCATGGAGTCTGGGCGTGGTGGTACATGCCTGCAATCCCAATTCTGGGGAGGCTGAAAACAGGGGGATCACTATGAGTCTGAGCTGCTTAGTGAGACCCTGTACCAAAGTACCCTGTACTTAAAAAAGTAAAAGTTTAGATTATAAAATCAATATACAAAAATAAATTGAAAATAAATTGCATTTTCTTCCTTAATTTTTTTAAAATCTTTTATTTATTTGTTTAGTACAGGGTCTCCTGTGCAGCTGAGACTCAGTGATCCTCCTGTCTCAGTCTCCCCAGCACTGGAATTATAGGCGTGCACCAACATGCCCAGTTTCAGTGGCTGGTGTGGTGTGCATGTGGTTCTGGGGATTGAACCCAGGTCCTTGTTCTTGACACGCAGGCTCTTAGACCTCTGAGCTATCTCCCCAGTCCTAAGTTGAATTTTTATACACTAAAAAAGAATTACTTGAAAAAGAATTCATTTATGATAGCTTGAAAAATGATTAGGAATAAATTCATTAAATTTATGAAACTGCTAAAAGAAATTATAGAAGATAAAAACAAATGCCAAGATATCTATTTTCATGGACCAAGGGACTAATGTTATCAAAAGGTCTAAAGTGATTTATTAATTTAGGCAATCTTCATCAACATTCAGAATCATTTTTAGTGACAAATAGAAAAGAAGTCTTAAAATTTATATGGCACTCCAAAAGACCCAAAATACTTAAAGTTGTGAGATAAAACAAAGCTAGTGATAGCATACTGCCTGACCAAACTATATCACAAATCTATAATAAGTAAAAATGTGGTACAGGCACAGAAAAGACCTGTCCCAATAGAACAGAAGTGAGAACTCAGAAATGAACACACATGTAGTCAACTAATCTTTGATAAGGGAACCAAGAATATATAGTGTGGAGAAAATAGTATCATCAATAAGAGGTGCTGGAAAAATTGCATAGCCACAAGTAAAAGAATGAGATTAGATCTTAAATATGTATATCTGTATCTTAAAAATTGGCTAAGTACATACATTTGAAACCTGTAATTATAAAACTCTTAGGAAAAAATAGAAGGTAAAACTCCCTGATGGGGGTGTTGGCAGTCATTTGTTTGGATGGGACACCGAAGCACAGGAAGAAAAGCAAGGGAAGGACATCAAGTTGAAAGATGTTTGTGTATCAGAGAAGATGATCAACAGAAATGAAAGGCAGCCTGTAGCATGGGAGGCAGTGTTTGCACAGCGTATTTCTGTAAGCAATTCATGTCCAAAACATATCAGCTATTCAAACACTAATCAAAATGAAACCATTAAAATCTGAGAACCTTAACAGAAATTTCCCCCAAGAAGATACCCAAATGGAAATGCAAATCAAAACCATGGTGAAATCTCTGACAAAACTAAACAAAAGGGATCAAATGAAGGACCATTTTGTATCTGTATATACAAAATAGTTAGAATAGATATATAGCTACTTTCTCTTAACTCATTGGGAAGAAAGATTTGTACTAATAGTGTTTGGACAGGATATGATGTCTGCATCTTATACTATGAATAACCACTACGAAGACAACAATATACACTTTATTAATTATTGAAACTATTCTACTAATCTGTATTAAAACTGTCTTGTTGCTATTTTTTTCTCAATAAAATTAATTTTAAAAACCATGGTGAAATATTGCCTCTTATTTATTATGATGGCTTTTGTTTAAAAAAAGATAAGGAAAACAAGTGCTAGTGAGGATGTAGCGAAAGGGAGACATACATATTGTTGATCGAGGTGGGAATTTCTACAGCCATCATAGACAGCATAGCAGTTCCTCAAAAAATGGAAGAGCAAGCATATGATCCGGCAACCCCACTTCTAGGTATATGCCCACAGGCAATGAGTGCAATATCTTCTTTCTGTGTGCGTGGTGCTGGAGAATATAGCAAACCCAGGGCCTCTTGCATACTAAGCAGTTATTTTACCAATGAGCTATATTCCCAGCCCTGGAATCAGTGTCCTTTAGAGATATCTGTATACTTACTACCATTTTGGTATTATTCACAGTACCAGAAAATTAGAATCTCAGTGTCTGTTGACAGGATACAGAAAATGTAGCTTATATACATAATACTTTTTGTTGTAGAAATGAAATTCTGCCATCTTATTCCATCACAGATGAACCTGGAGCACATTCTGCTAAGTTGAATAAGCCAGGCACAGAAAGCTAAATAGTACATCATAAGTGCATAAAATCTATAAAATAAAATTGTGGTTTCTAGGGGCTGGGGTAAAGAGTGGAAAGATACTAGTCAAAGGATATAAAATGTTAGTAATAAGTCCTAAGTTCTGGGAATCTAATGTACAGCATGGCCAATGATGGATGAGTTAATTTTTGGTAATTATTACATAGTGAATAAGCATATCAAATCATGTTATATGCCTTGATTGCATGATCCTTATATGTCAATATTTTAAAATTTAAAACAACTTTGGGCCATACGTCTCTATAGTTCAGAAACAATAGACAATTCAGTGGTGGCAAACCTATGGCAGGCATGTAGTTTTTCTTTTAAGACAAAAGATGTTAACATATGAGTTTTTTTTTGTAAACTAAAATCAGGACATTCAGGGTTAATTGCAGTACTGGCCCTTTGTGATAAGTAAGTGAGATCTGGGTGGCAATTTGGGCACTTGTCTCAAAAGGTTCGCCAGCGCTGCTATAATTCTTTCTTATCCAAAGGAACATCCAAAATAGCCAGTGGGGGAATGTTTTTTATGTAAATGTTGTATTTAAACAAGAATGAAAGGGGCCAATTCTATTTGCCTTACCTCCACCCTAATGACTATGTGTCCCTTAAAATCTAATCACTATCTGCCCACCCACCCCATGAATCTGTGGATTAACCAGTTTCCTCCACATCTGTTCCTGAGGTCTAGGGTTCTGTTTTATGTCTTATAAACTTAAAACACAAATCATTTTATGGGGAGATCACTCTAGGAGTGGCAAGGTGAAAGAGTGCTCAAAGGAGCCAACTGATCCAAACTCTGTTTGCCCAGATGACTAGGTCTGGAAAGGCGAGGCTCTTCCTTTAGTTGGCTGGAACTGGAGTGGTCTGGAGAGGGGAGCACCCCTAGCAGGTGAAATTCTACTGCCTTCTGTCTCTGCTCCTAGTTAACAAAGAGCATCCACTGTGACACCATTGTGGGATCAGCCCCTACCCTTGCACCCTGCAACCTAAAATGCCCACAGACAAACTGCTATCCTGTCCTGAGAACACAGCAATGGGTCCAAAGTTGGGGAGTGCCTTACGAGGATTAGCTTTTTCCTTTTGACATCTGGGCTGAGCATTTCTTTTTATCCCCATTTCTTTTTTTTTTTCTTTTCAAAGTTTTATTGATAAACATATAGCAATGAGACAGTTTCAAATCAAATCGAAAGTACAGTTTCAACAAATAATACACTGCATACATTCTTCTCAGTGGTTAATTGCTGTACAAGATGCAGACTTGTGATCCTACTTACAAACACCATTAGAAAAAATCATTCTATTCATTAAGAGAATGCAACTATATATCTATCCCAACCACTTTGAATACACAGATACAAAATGGACATTCATAGTTATACCCCAATTTTTTTAAGTTCCGTTGTTGAATATTATAGGTGTGTAAACTCAGCAAAATATTCTAAAAGAGTACAGAAGCCCATAATATCATTGGGTCTTCTGTTTAACTGGCAATGTCAGAAATTATTGACCTGAGTCCCCCACAGCTCAACATAACAACATGGCTTTACTTCCTATATTTCATCTTCATACTTTTATACTGGATGGTTAAGACCAAGGTAAAGCAGGACCTGTGCAAGAAGAGTTGTAGCTTTTTGGTCTGACAAGGTCAGTGAAATTATCCCCATTTCTTAAGGGAAGTTGGAGAGCTCGTCCAAGGTCCTTACAGAATCTAGAAAGAAATCCAGCCATATACAAACTCAGGCAAGCCAGCCACAAAGCCTTTGCTCACATATGCCAGAGCACACTAAGTGGAAAGCAAGTATTTGATTGTGCAGAGTACTTACATGGTTGGACGCTTGAAATTTACTCATCATGGTGAAGTAATTCTTGGTCACCATCTTTGAGTCAGTGGACAAATTTGGGTTTAATTTTATTTTGTCTGTATGGCCCTGTCTTTCAGCTTCCATTGTGATTCAGAAATGGTGGTGTCACATGAACCCATGCTTGGAAGGAGAGGACTGCAAAGTGCTACCCGATTACTCAGGTTGGTCCTGTAGCAGTGGGAATAAAGTCAAAACCACAAAGGCAAGTATAGACGAAACACACCTCCCATTTACAACTGCAGTGCCTTGCTAATCCTGGGCCTCCCCCTTGATTTTGTCCTGCCACAAAGACACCAGCATTACTGTGTGTTGACAAGTTGGCCTCAGCTGTGCACCATTTGGGTTTGGCCTTGTATTAAAGCCCCTCTCTCAGCATCTCCCTCTGTTCCAGGTTTTGTAGAGCAAGTAATTTGGTGGGTGAACTATTAGTTTAGACAGGGCCAGCAAATCTGTTTTTATTCCTTCTTGAGCCCAGTGTAAAGGGAAAGTTTCAGAGGTGACAAAGGAGTATTAAAGCAGCATGGCAGATTTGCACAGGTGACCAACTGAGGGAGGAGAACCTACTGCCTTAACAGAGACCGGATTGTTGGAGAGCCTTGACTCTCAGTCAAGGCTTATGAGTCAACAGTTTCCTCCCCAGCAGTCCTCTTTGCAGTTCTTGTCTCTGAAGGTGTCTACCTCATGTTCAACTAAAAAAATCTAACTTCTTTCCAGGCTCTCCATATCCCATAGGCTACATGTACTTGAGATTTTATTACTCTTCCCCTGCACAACTCTTTATGTCCATCATTCCTTTCTCACTCCATCTACCACCTCATCTCAACTCCAACCTCCGTACAATGGCAGTCAGCTTCTGTGAAATGCCTGTCTTCTAAGCTAGTCTAATGGCTTCCCTTGGGCCTGGGGCCTGGGCCTACAGGTGTCTGCCTGTTCAGCCTGCTACAGATAACCTGGCAGCTTCCAGAACTTGGCTTGCTGTGCTCTAGACTTCCTGGTTTTGTCTTAGTCCTTCTCATGTTGGTGCCTTTGCAATGCAGTTCCCACTATGGAATGTTCTTCCCTCCCTCTTCTGATAAACCTTTGTTTTTTCCAGGCAGTTCTTTCCTTGTTGGCTCATAGCCCTATATCTCTGAGCATGTACTATGGCATCAGTGAATGGACAGCTGTACTCATTTGCTTATTGCTGCTTGCTGGTGAAAGGAGGAACTGAGAGGTCAGGCCATAGGTGCACTTTGTCCCAGAGCTGACTGAATACTGTGGTGACTATTTCTTGGATAAACATTAATCATAGAAGTCATTCTGAGATTATCAGAGTTGGACAGACTGGCATGAAGTGACGCTTTGGTTCAGGTTGCTGAGATTTGGGCTCAAGGAAGTACAAAGTAGAGTACTTTTGCCTCTTTCTTATGCTTCTCTTTTTATGAATATTTTGAATAGCTAACCACCAAGAGTTCTCATTCACCCTCAGTCACTAAGATCTCCCCCAGAGTGAGTATAAAATATAATAAGCAAGATTTCACAAAATATGTATGTAAATATGTTAATATAAGAGATTAAATAAAACTTCAGCAGATATTATTGTACCCTAAATAATCAACAGACTATTAGGTCAGTTGACTAGTTCTTCACTGTAGTCAAAATCATGGAAAATCAAGACTATTTTTAACATCAATTGCTGCTATCTCGTGACCTGTCACTATTAGTGCTTTGTCATGACCTGATTTGTAGGTTGTTGGTCCATATTCATACAGGCTGAGTTAAAGAAATCAAGCAACTACAGATGCAAAATATTTGAAAAACTTAATTGCATATATACTGAACTTGTACAGATTTTTCCTGTCATCATTCCCTAAAATATAATATAAAAATATTTCCATGGCATTTACATGATTTGGGGTATAGCAAGGAATACATAGATGATTTAAAGTCGATGGCAGGAGGTATATAGGTTACATGCAAACATGGCAGCACTTTATACAAGGGAGGTGAGCTTCTGCAGAGGTTAGTATCCATGGAGGTTCTGGAAGCAGGTCCCCATGGATACCAAGAAGGAGTTAGTTCTTTTATATCCAGGGCTTTGCGAGTCCTTGAAGCCATTTATTGAACATTCCCACTGTCTCTCCCAGCCTTCTTTCCAAGTCACTTCCAGTAAACATTCTCGCTCTGTAAGCCCCATGTGCTTGCTAGGCAAATCCTGCCTCAGGGTTATTCCACTGTCCTGCCTGACTGTTCCAGCCACTTTCCCCTAAGTCCTTCCTCAAAAATTCTGAAGTCATAATGAGGTAAAGTTTTACATCTATCAATGCTAATTTTTTTCTTTCATTATATTTCTTCTAGACTAAGAATATAACAGTTGGAAGATGGTATTTGTATTGATTTTTAGATATAGATGTAAAACAAGACCATGAGCAAAAGCCGACCATATCCCAGAAAAGAATGTCTCTTAAATCGTCCTCCTGGTAGAGCAGTTCTCTCTCTTTCACTATTTATGTACAGTTAGAGAGGGCATTAGCAGGAAGCAAACCTTGAGGGACATTTTGGCTCTGTGTGCTGGGAATATAAGTTTTCTCTAGCTAAATCCTCAATGGTAGTGACATTTCATTTAGCACTTGGAGAAGTTGTAGAGATATAATACAGTTCCCCAAGCCATCATGATACTTGGACTGCTTTTTTTTAGTGATATGCCACTTGAGAATAATCTGAGAGTCATAAAACTTTGTTTCCTTTATTAATCTAAGCCAGTGTGACTTGCAGTGCATAAACCATTTTCTGTTTGTCATGAGTTCTACCACAATACAGAATAAAGTCATCTGTGGAGCCAAGACCAGCTTCCACGGTGAGCTTGGTGCCCTGGAAGCTACATCTTTTTCTTGAATTGGTGCAGACCACATACCACAGGAGAGACAGCAGTCCTACAAAGGCAAGCAATTGCCTCCCTAGAGGAGGTGTTGCCAGTATGACAAAATAGTTTCTATTTTCTAAACAGTTCGCCCACAGCAGCATCAAAACACAGCAAGGCTAGAAAAGTCAAGTCATCTGCCGTAAGCTGCCTGTGTCAGAGATTCACATTCCATTTAACTTCAGGTATGAAGAAAGCCAGCCGTTGAGAGACTAATGGTCTCAGATGAAGATATGAAAATAAGAGTATTCCCGAACCAGTCATTTTTCCCAGATGTAAAATGTTGGCATCAAGTTTATTCTACCAATATAGTTTTCAGTGTCTCCAGAGAAGGTGCAGCTACTGCTTCCTGTAGGAAAATGTAACTCTCTCTCTCGTCTTGCCTCAATTCAACTTTACCTAATTAAATTCTGGGCTTTGCTGCATTCTGTGGTCTGAATAGTCCTTCCCTACTTCAAGTTGTCAAAGTTAAGGCTTCTAACAAGGGCATAATATCTTACTAGCCCTGAAGCCAAGCCTTTGCCAGGGCTTTTGTGTTGTGTGCCAGCAGAAGCAAATCACATAGAACCTTGACAAGCTTTGCATTTTTAATATTCTTACTTTAGAAATCTAAGGATGAAGAACTATATGTGGTATCAGGGATCGAACTCAGGACCCTGTGCTTGCCGGGCAGGTGCTTATGTCACTGAGGTATCTCCGCAGCAATAACTATATCTTTATACAGGTAGCTCTTTTTTAAAAAATTATGTATTTGGTACAGGGTCTTACTATGCAGCTCAGACTCCTAGCGATCTTCCTGTTTTCAGCCTCTCCAGAGATGGGGTTACAGGGGTGTGCTAGCACGTCTGGTCCCAGTGGGCAGCACAGCGTGCCTGTGGTGGGGCCGGTACAGCATGTGGTTCTGAGGATCGGACCCTGGTCCCTGTGCTTGTCTAAGCTGGTGCTTAGTCTACTGAGCTATCTGGCTTGCCCTTGGGTAGCTTTCAACCAGGGGCAACTCTGCACTGAGTGGACATATGGCAATCTATGAGGACATTTTCTCATGACGGGTGCAGTAAACATCTTACAAACAAGACTGTCTCTACCACAAGCTATAATTTGACTCCAAATGTCAGTAGTTCCCAGGTTGAGAAACTGCTTTAGCAAATAGGCTATTTTTTTCCATAGCTCTTTGCAAGCTACCTACCTTACTCACTTACTTCATTTTTCTCTTCAAAGTTTAAATGTTGAAAAATTTCTAATATTTCATATTGGAAAACTCACAGAGGGATAAGAGAAGAATAGAAGTAATTCACACATACCTGTTTAAACCTCAAGAGAGCTCAATGTTTAAGATAGGGCAGCGCTATCATAATTATCTATGATACTCATACTGGTCAGAACAGAGATACAAATAATATATAATTCATTAGAAACAGCACAGAAATTTAAAAAATGGAAGCATCTGTCTTTGCAACCACCCTGTTTTAACAGTAACCCCAGTCCTGTCCATGCTTCCCCAGATGGCTTCCCGACTGAGATCTTTTTCTGCCTCTTGGGCTACCATCCCAGGTAAATGGCAAGGTTCAGTGGCACCATAGTTACAAAACAGTCATCACGGGAACTTCTTCAAAAGACTGTTTTGACCCCATCTCTGTGGTATTCTGGGATGGTAAATCTTGGCAGGCCTTAGTAAAGCAAGCTTTAATAATGTCCTTAGCATGCTTGTGAGGAAGTCGTGGGTCTCACTGAGCTCCCTGCCTGTCACCACCTTTAATTAGCTTCTATCCTGCTTCCTGGTCACCATAGTAAACTCTGTGCAGGTCCATCCCTGGCGAGATGCCATCACTCGGTCTCCATTGGTAACATTCAAAGTATGAGCATCCTGAATCCTGGCCCCTCCTTTCCAGTTGCCACCTAGCCTCATTTCCAAAACCATTGCTGTCTTCTCACCTTTCTAAAGCTTCACTTGTTTTTCAAGACCTAGCAGAGATAACTGCTTCCCCTTGAAGCCTTGTCTTCTCTGGCCTCCACAGTCAGGATGCATGGGAGTAGAGCAAACACTGGATGCTGGGAACTTGATATCCATCAAAACTTTAAAAGTATTCAATTTTATTTATTATTTATTTTTTAGTTAATAGTCTAGAAATAAAATCAAGTATACAGCAGAAAGGAAATAAATATTTAAAGGGTCTTCAAAGAGTCATATATGTCAAAACAACTATTTTTAATCTTTCCGTGTGAGAAGCAGTATTGCTCCAAAATGGACAGTACTCCTGCTTCCCCTTCCCACAGTGCTTCTGTTCCTGTGAAAGTGACTGAAATGCGTATTTTCTCTTTTATTTTTGTACTTATTAATCCATTATTTGTACTTGTATTGCACATGGCTGCTGTATATTAATGAGCTTTATTATAAAAAAAGAAAAAAAACTTTAAAAGTAACATCTTCCACATGTGATGGGAACAACAATAATTTTAAAGGAAAAGAAATATGAGAGTGTCTTATCATCTAAGTTTTAGCACTGTTTCCCCAAATGAGCTGGGCATAGAGACCATGCCACCTGAAAGAAGGTATTTTTGGGAATTACATCCTTGGTATAGTCTGATACTTGGCTGTGAATGCTCTTTGGCTCTACATAGAGCCATGATGCATGCAGGAAGCATAAGCATGGCAGTCAGCATTGTTTTCCGGTGCTGACCATGTCCAGGCTCTGGGCCAGGAGCGCAATCCATGTATTTCTTTCCCTCTTCACTACGACTCAGGGAGACCATTTGCTGGCAAGGAAATGAAGGCTTGGGGCTGCCCCCTGAAAGCATGGCTAACTCCCTCACCTCATTGGTCACGCCAGGGAACTCGGTGATCGCCTTGTTTTCTTTGCTCACATCCTCCCTGTGGGAAGGGCTGGTGGTTTCCCTATCACCCCTGGGCCAAAGTGATCCCTCTAAGTGGATGTTGAGGCTATTCCTCAGCTCATACTTATGCCTCTGCCGGGGAATGGCAAACGCCTTCACACTGTTCTTAGAACCTTGTTCTTTACCTCTTCCTTTGCACAGAATTACTTCTTCCAGTGCATGCAGTTTCCCTTCACTGCCTCAAGGATCTCCTCAGTTCACCCTTTTGCTGAGAATCCTGTGTGAAGCAGCGACCGTTCCCATCCCTGGATTTCTGTTCTCCATTATCTAACTCCATCATACATATTTCCTTCTCAGATTTTTTTTTTTTCATGTATTTGGTTGTCCTTCTTTCTCCTCAGGAAAAGTCAGTAAGCTCTAGCTGGTGGACCACATCTAGTGCTCTGTTTTGTTTTTCTGTGACTTGAGAGCTAAGAATG